TATACACGCGCGGAGGTCCTGATTCGGATCTTTCTATTGTTTTTCGTCGTCGATGCGCCGTTGACGAGAATATTTATTATTAACGCGCGCTCGTCAAGGCCCGAAAATATATAATGAAAATTTAGTGTTCGTGCGATTATATCGGGGTGCATAACGAACAGCTACACATTGATTGTGAATATAAATCGGACGACTATGGGCATGCATTTTCAAGAACTTCTAGAATGTAAATGGATTTCTGACATAAGTACAAAACTTTATTTTTTTTCATTTGGTTTCGACTGCGACATCTGGTGGTAAAATCCCCGAAGCTGCTCGTCGTCGATGAGAGCGTTGATAAATCATCTCTTACTTCACTGGTGCTTGCTTTTTTCTCATTTACTCGTTCGCGATTCGCGACACTCGCTCGGTCATTACAAGTTAATCGCCCGCACCAAACTCATCCGAAGAAGTCTGAAAAAAAAAACACGATCGTCGATTAGCAACTGCATCGAGAATCGAGCAAGCCGCGTCAAAATACACGGATAAACACAGTCGCCCGCACAAGTATCGGAATCGTACTGCACGTCGCAGGCGTTTACCTTCATCAAAGATCATCCCTCTTCCTATATAAGAGCCCCAGCGGCGGCGGTGGCAGGTATCGTGTCCGGCTTAAGCCTCGGGCACGGGGGGCTGTGTGGAAATCCATAACTCCACTTATACGCGCCGTCGACGAGACATTCCATCGTCGACGTCGTCGTCGTGCCGCTTCGAGTCGTCGGAGAGCTTCGGAGAGTATAATAGGCTGGGGGGGGGGAGGTTTGTCGGCAACGCAACACTCGATAACAGGTGCAACACACAGCTATATATATATACGTAATACGGCCGATGCGAACGACGCGCGCTTTAATACGGATTCCGATTTATACGCGTCTCGAGCAGCAACAGCAGCAGCAGCAGGACCATGTCGGGGCTCTCTCTCTCTCTCTCTCTCTCTGTGCTTCGGAGTGTGTATACGCGTTGCACACACAGGCCTTATAAGCCGATTAGGCGTATACAGTTTCCCGTTCTGCTCTCTTCCGCTGCAGCTCTCGCAGCAACAACCCCCGGTCCGTGTTGCGCCGTGCAGTTTGCTGAATTAACGCGGCTGCATAGCGACACTTGCGGCTCTCGGCTGGAGAGAGCTGCGCGCTGACAACGTACCCGTGCTTTATTCACGGTGGCGCCTGTGTGCAGCTTTTGTTTTTAAATACGCTGCTGCTGCAGTCTAGTCTCTCTCTCTCTCTTACTCGGGTGTGCCGTGCAGCTCTGGCCGATTAATTTTGTTCTTTTCGCTCTCGATCTCCCGCCGGCAACTGCGCGACGTGTATATACGAGGGAGAGCTTGCGCGCGGACGGATTTTTCTGACGCCCAAATAATAACGCCGTTGGAGCTGTACTCTCTGCTCGTCGCCGTCGCCGACTTTAATGTATATATCTCGAGCTTTCGGCAACTGATGTTGTGTAAATTGTTCGCTCGCTCGAGCTCGTCTGCAGCAGCAGCAGCACCAGCAACGTTTCGACGACTCTCTCTCTCTCTCTCTCTCTCTCTCTCTGCCTTCTGACTTGGAAATTTAAAGCGAAAATAATTATCAAGTGGTTACACACAGTGGCTTCACAGCGAATTTCCTAGATTTATGCGAGCGAGATTAATATTTTCGCTGCCGCGCACGCGAAATGATCCGACGACTGGTCGTTATATATACGTGTGCATCGCTCGAGCTCTGCGCGGAGCTAACGTAATTCTGCGCGGCGGAGATTTTGGCTGCTGCTCTGCCTGGAAAATTCGCAGAAGAAGCGTAGTCGCTGTGTTACATGCGCTCGGCGCGACGTTTTTGCCATCCTGTCCTGTCGCGTGCCCTGTCGCGCGGCTTAACGAAAAATTTATTATTAAATTATGAATTTTCTCGCGTGCACTCGCGTGAGGGCCGCGCCGCATCGGGGTTTTTTTTCTGTAGGCATGAGATTCCCCGGGACATCGAAATTATCAATCGTAGCAGAAATTTCCCAAAATTTTGCAAACCATCGCTGGTTTTCTCCGCGCGCGCGCGATTTACATACATCGGCTTAATCAGGCAAAATATTTCCAGATTTTCGAGCCTCGATTGCGCTCCGCGCGATGATTCGAAACGTAGCTATTTTTTTCTTTATTTATTTTTTTTTTTTTGTCAATCGACTAGTTGCTGCCGCCGCTGTACGTGTACCTGCATAAAGCTATACGTGTAAAAGACCAAAACAAAAAAATGGAAATCTATTTTATTTCTCCCGCGCGCGCGTCTGCGAATCAATTACTCACGCTATCGCTTACGCATACGAAACGCCAAAAAAAAAGGTAAAAAAATAAAATGCGTGCGAACGAAACGCGAGTAAAAACAAAAAAAAAAAACAACAACGAAAACAGCAACGAGAACAACAATAACAACGGGGGTGTTTGTGTACGGCATACGCAGCGCCAACACGATTCCATCGATACTAATACCAATTTTCGGGGGTAAAACTCTGCTTCTGCCGCGCTGCATGCCGTAGTACGTGTAAAGCGCAAAGATATTTATCGCCCTTGGCAAATCGTAACGATCCCTCCCTCCCCCAAACCCCTCAGTTTCTCTCTCTCTCTCTCTCTCTCTCTGCCGTTCGCAAATCCATTAAATGTGCACGCGTTAACATTGGCGCGCACGCGGGCGTAACGATATCGGTATTGGAACGCGAGACGAAATACAATAAAAACGTGTCAACGCGCGCGCGAACGGTACTGTAGGTGTGCAGCTGCAGCTGCAGTCTTTTTACGCGTCGCGTCGCCGAGCTCGACAGGGCGAGAGATTGTGTGGAGGAGAGCAAAAAAAAGGGAAAGAAAAAATAAATAAATAAAAGCGCGCGCGATCGGCCGAAATAGGAGGATGAATCATTAGTGCGACTGGTGCGCGATCGGCCGAAATAAAGGTGGTCCTTTGATGTATTTATATGCGCTGAGATAAGCCTTGATAGAAATGGCTCGACGTTTTATGGCTAGCTTTTAACCGAAGTAAAGGGCCATCTTTCGATTGTATAAATTTCGTCCATATTATCATTTGAAAACTCAATCAATGGTTATTATTAATTTTCTACATTTTAAATGTAAATCGTCAATTGAGTTAAATTTTTTACTTTGAATGCGTAACAGTCGAAGTATACATAGTTGATAACGGATTCGATCAAATGCTTTCCGTGCTTTAACTTATTATTTTTACTTTATTACTTGCAGATTTACAGGTAAAGGTACTCTCCATCTAGTGGTGAAAACTTAAAGAAGTATTCGAAATGGCATTTATGTGGTTTTTGTTTTATTGTATTGAGAGTGATTGGTTAGAATGCTCATCTAAATTTTTTTAAACAATAAAATAATTATTTTCAGATCATTTGAAATGATAAAATGCTCAATAATTTTAACATAATACTAATAGGAAAATCATTGAACACAAGTCAATTAATGGTAAGACCATTTAAACATTTTAAATCATTTTCTTTTGTTTATTGATTCACTATGGATGTACAGCATTTCTATGAGGGATATATCTCATTTTATTGTATCGCGCGATGTGTGTACGTGTGCGTGGTTTTCAGTTCCCGCGAGAGAAAGAAATAGAATGTAAGTCAAAAAGTTGAACGAGGCCGAGTGTTATAACGCAGCGCAATTGCTTGGACTTTTATTCGATGCTGTTGGGTGGGAGACAGAGACTGCAGCTCCGAAAACTCGAGTCTTACGTGTATAGACCGAAACTTGGAATATTCAAAAATTAAGCCATGAATCTTACGAGCTCCTCTCGTAATACAGTTGAAGATGTTTTGTTGGGAAAACAACATAACCGTTCACGAAGCTTTTCGTTGCGCGAGTTAGTTCGGGAAAAATATCTCGCTCTAGCAGTGGTATAGTAGTGACAGTAGTAGGCGCTTTTTTGTAAAAGTTTCGCCGCGAAATCGTTTTTCTACGCGTGCACAGCGCCCAGGAGGAGAGCGCACAATAATACACACTTTTTCTCGAGGCCAAAGAGGGATTCGCGCGTAATTTTATGGAGCGTACCGTCTGGATGGCGATGAAATGGCGCTGGGCGACGCATCGAGCAGCATCCACCCCACGTGCAAATCCTTGCGGAAAAATACAATGGGATCGTCGAATATATATGTACGTAGCGCGCGTGGCCGCAAAATCCGGAAATCTCACTTTGACGCACGATGACCGCCCGACCGGTGGCCTCTCGTCTTTCGAGTTGGCTTACACACACACGACCGCATCGACGCGAATTATAAACGGTCGAGAGGAGGAAGGGAGGCAGAGGGTTGAAATTCTACCCTCTGCTGCAGCTCCTACGCACGCGATCGTACAGAGTTTATATATATACGCGGGCACGAGTGTGCGAGCTGTCGTCGCGCTATGGCGTTAATTGCGGTTTTTCGAAATTATACGTACGTGCGACGCGTATAATATGCGAGTCGCTGCACCGCCGGACCGTCCGTCCTCATTCCCGGGGGAGGCGACATTCATGGCATCGGCACGCCGGTGAAGGGTAATCAGCAGGGGGAGGACGAGTACTCGATATTTCGAGTAAATCTGGTCGGGAAAATTCGAGTATCTGGGTGAGTTTCGGGTACCCAATTTTTTTTTTATCGAGTACTTGCACTTACAAAATGTGTAAATAGATAACTTTGATCTCGGAGAGCTTCTCTGGTAACGGGATTTTTTATTTCAAATGATTGGATGATTATCAATAAGAGAATTGGAACTATTTTGTTTAAATGTATTTATTTGAATTAAATGAAAAATATAAAGTATAAAAACATAATTATATGACAACACTAAATAATAATACACATTAAATAGTAGATTAAGTGCCTAGCAAGGATAAGTCAACCTGCACAGACACAATAAAAGTAGTAACTAAAACTATCATATTAAATTGTAAAATGTAATAAAATGTAAAAAAATGTAAAATCACTAACGATTTCGGACAGCCAATGATTAAAAATGCAGCATAAAATAACATTTTTTTACACTTTTTAACATTTTCTTACTTATGCAATCCGCATGTGATCGCATCGAGCACAGTAAGTGATTTTCGTGAAAAAAAAAGAATTGATTTTTATAAAAATTTAATTATTTACTGTCAAATTATGAAGGATATTATATAAACCAAATCCAGTCATTTCAGTACTCCTCAGTACATCTATAATGATGTTATAATGCTTCCTGCTGCATCAGAGTGAGGTCACTTTTTTCACAAAAATCACTTCCTGCGGTCGATGCGATTTCATGCGGGCTTGACCGGCATTTCAAACTCATAAGTCAATATTGTAACATTTAAGATTATTGTTACAGAATTTTATGTTTTTTTACACTTTTTTTACTTTTTCCATCTAACTTTAATGAGCTTGAATTCCTAGGGTTTTCATTTCTCTAATGAATCGGTAAACAAATGTAATAAACTGTAATAAAAATGAAAAAGTGTAGAAAAGCGTATCACATGTCCGAAATCGTTAGTAATCTTACATTTTTTTACACTTTTTTACTTTTCATCACAGTTCATATCATTATTATGTGGCATGTTTAAAACAAAATTTCCGGGGGTCCCAGAGATCGAGATTCTCGCCATATTACCATTTCCATTTGACAAGGTATCTTGCAAGGCCAACATGGCCTGAAAATTATTGTTCATCATCCGGACCCATTCCTTTAGTTCACCATTTCCATTTGACGAGAAAGGCCTCAGGTCCATTGGGTTGGACAGCCGGTACCAATCGTTTTGTCCGGGGTCGAGATTTTGACCATTTTCATTTGACAAGGGATCCGCCAGGTTCATTGGGGTGTGCATCCGGCTCCAATCGCTTAGTCCGAGGTTGAGATTTTGACCATTTCCATTCGAGAAGGGATCCGCCAGGCCCCTTAGTCCGCTTAGTCCGAGGTTGAGATTATGACCATTTCCATTTGACAAGGGATCCGCCAGGCCCATTGGGGTGTGCATCTGGTGCGAATTGTCTAGCCCGAGGTTGTGATTTTGATCAATTTCATTGCGCAAGCGTTCTCCCATGGCTCTCATTTGGGGGCGTATCCGTGCACAATATTCTTTCACGCGTATGAAGCTATCATCAACTACAATTAACGGAGATTTGCGGTTGAGATTTTGGTCATTTCCATTTGACCAGGGATTTCCCCTGGCCATTATTCGAGAGTGTTTCCGGCGCAAATTGTCGTTGAGATTTTGACGCTTGATGTTCTTATGAAGTGAAGGCGACTCTGTAAACATCGGAAAAAATAAATAAATAAATGTAACAATAAAAAATTAAAATATTAAATAAATGTATGATTAATTATAATTAACCTCTGAGACTAAAATCCACTGGTTCTCGTTGTACGGTACCAGAAGCTGTTTCTAGTTGATAATTTCGCTCGCCTGCTTTCATCCTTTCATACCTCGTCCGTGCGCTCAATCTTTTGTCTCTTGCATCCATGGATGCACGTTTGTTGAGCTTTGTGTTGGCATCGATCGAAGAGTCCGTCGATTTAACAGAATTTTTTGAAATGTCGCTCTGAGCATCCTGTCCGCTCAGATTGCGGAAAGCTGGATCGGCCCCTCTTCTCAGCAGCAAGGCGATCGCTTTCTTGTTGCGGCTGCGCGCGGCCAAGTGTAGCGGAGTGTCGCCCAATCTGTCCTGAGCATCCAACCGCACCAACTGATGCTTTCCGTCGAACAGCGCATCCACCAAGCCGCTGTACTTGATAGATCCGTACCTCTTGCTAGGTGTCGGGCTGTAATGCTCTTTCAGCAGAGGTTTGATTTTCTCGTATTCCTGCCCCAACGCTACGCATAGCGGTATCTCCTTGGCACTCTTCTTCTGGGCATCGTCGTGCTGAATTTTTTCGTCTATGCATTGGAAAAACCTCTCCATCGTGTCATATTGCGAGGGATTCGCGGCCATCGTGTGCAAGGGCGTCGATCCATCCTCGTTGGGCGCATTAGGATTTGCGCCTTGTTTCAGCAACTCTACGATCTGTTCTACATTATTTTGCTGTACGGCAAGGCGCAGCAGAGAGTTAGTCAGCCGCTCGTCGATACTATCGGACAGACTTAATCTCTCGATGCGGCCGCTCAGCTGCTCTAACTGTTGGGGAACTGTATTCCGGTTGTGGCTCTCAATGCGCGGTTGTTGGTCTCTTGAGTAGTTGGCTAGATGCTGATTGACCCACGACAGATTTAATTCGTCGATGTTGCTACGTAGCTGCTCTATCTGTTGTTCGTCTTCTAACTCCATGATGCAATGTTGTTACGAAGTCCGAGCACTCACACACAACGCTCTAAAAATTATTAAAAAAATGTTAAATACTTTCTTTATTTTTAGTCCGGACGCTGGCTGGGTTTTCGTGAAAATTTCCGACTCCACGGCATTTTTATACGTTTCTAGCCTTATTTTGATGCGCTGAATAGATTTTTCGAGGTTCATTTTTTCGAATCAGGTGCGTTTAAAAGTTATAAACAAATTAATTGTTTAAACGGCCATATCTTGTAAAATATTGAAGATAGATTAAAACAATTTGTTTTTATTTTATTTGTCATTAAAAAACGAAGAATTTCAATTAAATTAAATTAATTAAATTAAATTAAATCAATTAATTAAATTAATTGATTAAATTAAATTAAATTAATTGATTTAATTTAATTTAATTAATTTAATTTAATTGAAATTCTTCGTTTTTTAAAGACAAATAAAATAAAAACAAATTATTTTAATTTATCTTCAATATTTTACAAATTTATAAACAAATTAATTGTTTAAGCGGCCATATCTTGTAAAATATTGAAGATAGATTAAAACAATTTGTTTTTATTTTATTTGTCTTTAAAAAACGAAGAATTTCAATTAAATTAATTGATTTAATTTAATTGAATTAATTTAATTTAATTGAAATTCTTCGTTTTTTAATGACAAATAAAATAAAAACAAATTGTTTTAATCTATCTTCAATATTTTACAAGATATGGCCGCTTAAACAATTAATTTGGTAATAACTCTTAAACGCACATGTTCGAAAAAATCAACCTCGAAAAATCTATTCAGCGCATCAAAATACGGCTAGAAACGTATAAAAATGGCGTCGAGTCGGACATTTTTACGCAAACCCAGCCAGCGTACGAAATATTTCTTTGATACAAAAAAAACTCACCAACACGTGCTCGAAGTTATGATATTTTTTTCCACTCGCCACTGTCAGTACTATCTCTTCTTTTATTTTCTTGTTTTGTTTTATTTTGTTTACGATGCGGCGACGTAACGTTTACAGTTATAGCAGACTGTTTTTACGAATGTCACGAGCCCACGTGGACTGGTTATATATATATACACTGCTATATTTCAAGAGACTCAAAAATTAATAACACTTGGCCGCGACTAAGAGAGACTCTTTTGGCGAATATCGCCAGCCTCCGACGAAAATTCTTCAAAGCTATAAGAAATACAGCAACGTGTATATGTACTTATGCCTGCTCTACCACTATTAAAAAACGTATATGTGTTCAGCTTAAGAAACAGACACAGACAGGCGGATATACACGACGAAGCGGAAGAGTATCTGTTAGGCTGCGTTCACGCAAAAAGACTGCAGCGTTGCAAGGTGGTTCTATATTGGAACGCTGTATGCACAAGGCTATAAGCGTTGCACAGTGCACAGTACACAGTAGAACATAGGGGAAATGTGTTCGAACCTTAATATCTTTTCTATCTGACTGGAAACACTCATTAATAATTATATCATTCGAAAGCAAATAATTTTCCTATAACATATATTAATTTCATTAACTTTTAAGCGATTTGTGCTCACAGTACACTAAAAACTGCCAACCCCAAATTTTTTTTACCAAAAATCTTGTAATTTCACTTCGATCTTAAATTTTTGTCATTTTCACTACAGCCTGCTTAAACAATTTTTTTTCAACAAATGGTCAAAATTTAAGTTTATGGACCTAACGTTAATTAGATTATTTTAAAGAGAGTAGGTTTCTTCATATTTTTCTCTCAAATTGATGGTTTTTAACTATTAGAAAAACTATTGATCATTAGTATTAACTTTTCGCATTTATTTTCTTTATCTCAAACGATCGGATAATCTATACGCAGCACAGACCTCATATTGGGAAATGTGTCGTAGAAATTTTTGAGCCTAGATGGCGAAAGGAGATTGGGCCATAACACAGGGCTCTTATGGGGCCGAGCCTTAAAAAAATGTTTAAAAATTTATGAAAAATATTTTCAGGTATCGGATGCGATCAAAATAATCTTTATATACGTATATTGTTAGAAAAAAAGTTTCATGCAAAACAGTCTGTCCATTCATTTGCAATTAATTAATTACGACGTTTGGACTTGGGTATCTGCATGAAAAAAAAATCATTGAAATAATTACGTTATAGTAAAATATACGTATCAAGGAATGTGAGAGTAAAAAAATAAACAATTTTGAACAGTCAGGTAATTTTTAATACGGGAATAAAAATCGAAAAAATTTGAAAATTATTTTAAACTCCACAAACGATTTTGACTGGTCCGAATAACTGTGACGTCATACTTATAATGTAAGTCGGCTGCTGCGCGTAATTTGTATACCTATATATATGCGTCTACTGGTAAGTATGACGTCACGGTCCGCTCGCACAGTTTCGAGCGCTTTCGGTGCGTTTTCGGCCGTTTGAAAAGTTGCATTTTTTGAAACGATAAATTTTTAAGTAAAAACGCAATGAAAAATTAAAAAAAAAAATATTCATTGATAATTCATTTATGTTGATTTCAAAAATATCATTACTTTTTTTTATGCAATTACGCTATTCGGCTGCTATGGCTGTTTAAAGTGAGGTAATGAAGAGTCATAGCAGCCGTCAATTAACGTCAAATATCGGGTCCAAGCGTCGTAATTAATTAATTGCAAGTGAATGGACAGACTGTTTTGCATGAAACTTTTTTTCTAACAATATACGTATATAAAGATTATTTTGATCGCATCCGATACCTGAAAATATTTTTCATACATTTTTAAACATTTTTTCAAGGCTTGGCCCCATAAGAGCTCTGTGTTATGGCCCGATCTCCTTCCACCATCTAGGCTCAAAAATTTCTACCACGCATTTCCCAAAACACGTCGACGGTTTTTAGACATCGACTTTCCAAAGTGCAGTTGCACGCAATTAATCGTGTTCCCTCCGGTTTGTCACGCGCGCGCGGCCTATACCACCCGTTCATAGGCTGCATTCCGAATAATGACCGGTCTCTCTAATGGTATAGATTTGCTTTGAAAAAAAGAAGCGAAAAAAAATTGCCAACGACTCATCTAATCCGCAATCAATAAAACGCTCGCGTGGACGTACGCGGGGCTCTTTCATCACTTTAAGCCCGACAAAACTCGACAACAGCGGCATCGGCAGCTCGCGCGCTCTCCCTCTGTCACTACCTTGTAATTTAATCTCGTATTGCCGACAACTAGTGAGCTCGCGCGCGCGCGCGAAGCTTCAATAATTTCTCTTTCCGCAACGCGAATTAAAGTGCTTGCGTGCAAACTACCATTTACACGTACTGCACTGAACCACGGAAGGTCCTACAGCGCGATATAGGCGCATGTATCTTCGGAGCTCTGCCAGAAATCTATTATAATTTAACCGAAAATTTTAATACAGATTTGAGTTTAATTCAAGTGCTATGCTCTATGTCTTTCTCCCTTTCTACCCCGGGTACTGCGAGGCGCAGCAAGTGCACGCGCTGAGAGATATTAAACTGAAATTTACTCCATAGTTTTGCAGGCAACTATTATAAGGTTTTAGTTAATGTAGATCCGCATATGCAGTGGTGGTACTTTAAATGTTAGCTAGCTACGTACGCATTTTAATTGTACACTGTTGAAAAAACCTGTAAAGTAAGACTTTAAAATTTAAAGTAATAGATGTTGAATTTTTCAGGTACTTTTGTAGAAAGTCCTCGTCGAGAATTAATGGTTTAATCCGGAAATAGTATCTGCGTTTATTGTACGAAAAATGAATGATAAATCTGCAAGTGTCACAGACAAAATGATTTTATAAGGAAAAGAACCGTTTTAAGGAAGAGAACCGTGGTCGTCGGTCAGAAGTTAATACTGTTAAACTGATTTATTGGTTGCGTTAATTGTACCAAAAATTTATGAAAATTACATTAAATTTAATGCCAGCCTCTATCGCTAGATGGCGAGTACCTTCATCTGCAAATAAGCAAGTGATAAAGTAAAAGTAATTTCATAAAAGAAAACACACTTTAAAATTGAAATATTGAAAATTTACCGCTAATCACGAGCAAAACAATAATTTCATTTAATTCAATTTTGCATTAGAACTATAAAAAATTAAGAAAATCACATGAAAACCAATTTAAAGATTATTTTATGAAGCACATCGGATTGATTAATTCAAATCACATTAACTTGAACGCTTTATTTATATGTATTTGAATTTTTCCTCGGAACTTTCTCCGCATATAAATAATTAATTTTAAAGAAATTTTTTAGCAGTTTACTGCGCAAAAGCCTCGAAAAGTAAGATTATATTATTGTCGTCGCTACTCGAGGGCAATAATTTTTTTCAACAGTTCCCCGTATCCGAGTTTCCAAGCTCAACAATTTTTTTTTAAACGTCAATATTTTTTCATATAAAAACGTCGCACGACTAGTTTCTTGTGAATAATTATACTTGTGAGCTGCCAACGAAAGATAGCGCGTTAAAATATTGATAAAAACGCTCATTAATGACTTGGGGCACTCTCGAGGTAGAGAAAAAAAAATTTTTCAAAGAACTTTTCTACCTAAAAAAAAAAAAAAAGAAGTGGAAGAAGGAAACAGCTCTTGGTGTGCGCGACGTCGAGCTCAAAAGCCAACGGCACTAACAAGAAATAAACATCGCTTTACGCCCTTTGCGCGTAGCTGCGATGAAAAGAAAAAACAGAAAAAAAATAACCGGGTGAGATTATTTTTCAGATGTAAAATTACTCTGACGATGATCTTTGCCGCGTGCGTTTCCGGGAGTCGAAACGCTGCGAAATAAATGCAATCTATCTTCGAACTCCCACGCCGACGACGCGCGCGCCCGGAATCGAGTACTCTTGCTCGGCGCGTGCTATAAAGGATGCAAAAAGCAGCGCGCAGCTCTCTCGGCTGGAGCTTTTACAAATATCGATTAGAACGTGTACGTCAAGTTCCGACCGAAAATCGGCTTTGCTCTCGGGCGCAACTCTCAAAGTGTTGTGCGCGATATATATAGATATATATATATATATATATATATATATATATATATATATATATATATATATGCGCTAGAACGTTATATATGATATAAAGTGTAATTAACCCATTGAATCTCTGACCCATTTAGTTTACGGCGCAGCAGCAGCAGCTCTCGTCGCTTTGGCGGCAATCAGTTTATTACAAAGCCGCGCGTTTCGTTATTTCTCTCTCTCTCTCGGGTTCGAGCTCGTCGGAGCTTGATCCAACTCGGAGCTTCTCGGCTCGTAATATGAACTCGTCGACGCGACCCCCGTGGGTGAATGTACACATATATTCCTCGCTCTTTTACATCGATCGCTCGGCACTGGCCATAGCTATACGTTACGTGTAATATACTAATATGAATTTACAGCAAATATCTCTCAAACCCTTTGGCAGTTGTAATAAAGCTCGCACAAAGTGGCGATGTAGCGGGAAGAAAAAAGCGAGGCAATTTTTTTCTTTTTTTATTTTCATGCGCGGGCGAGTGGAAACGAGAGGGAGGAGCGTGGAAGATAAAACGTCGGGAGTGATGAAATGGTTTTTTACGTGCGTGACGCGACAAGACGACCAATACCTTTTACCGTAAGATAAGGGACGAGAAAGACCCCACTAGATCCGCCGAAATGAGATTGTAGGGCTCGAATAATTTTCGAGATTATGACGCATTAAGTTCGTGTCACGCTCTATTTTTTTTTATTTTACCATTTTTAAATGATGCGCATGGCAAACTACGAGCTATTGATTCGTCAATTTTCTCGATAACTCAATACGTCAATATTTTGATGTTTTTGAATCGCATTACCGAGTATCAATTACAGATTTCACTGTACTATTATTCGGAACCCATTGTCTCGAGAAAAAAAGCCAATTCATCTATTTTTGTTACAAACATATTATATGCGCGTATATCTTGTGAAAGACCTCCGAGCTTACGTTTATTAGAAAATGATGGACACTCAATGCGGGTGAAAGTGTAAATTAGTTTGGAAGCGAGTTTAATTACTAATTAACTACCGCAAGTCATCATTTATTATAAAGATTCGCCCTCTCTCCTCCCGAAAAAGATCGAGTAGTTGCACGTTGGCAAGTAGTAGTAGTAGTAGTAGGGAAAGTTTCCACACTGTGTGCGTGTGTGTGTGTGGATATTCTCCCTGCTCATCTCTTCGTCGTAGTCGTCGCAGCGAAATTTCTGCGGCAGGAGAGGCAATTTCGAAAACTTTAAAACTATTCTCTATTTCTATTCTTCTTGCGTGCTTGAATTTCAATTAAGGCCTTGGCTCGTC